GACGCTAAGAATCCAAACTGGTGTTTCATTTTATGTTCCACACTGCATACTTATGAAAGGGGAAAAGGAAGAGTAATTTTGGACATTCAAAGTACCAGGGGTGTGGAAAGTGTGTGAGTATGAGGCAAGAAAGCCAGGGGAATGTCCCTCAGTCAGAGTGCTCTCTAACATTTCATTTCCGCCACTCCCTGGACTCTGGAATCTCTTATCTTAAAAGGGGGGCTGGTCAAGGGCTCTGAGCTTTGCAAACTATGGGAAACGGGGAGAGAAACATCCAGAAATTTCAAAACAGATTCTGAGGCAGATTTAGGACCCACAGGAAAGCTTCATTTGACACAAAAATCACACTATTTGGTGTTTAGGCTATTTTAATCTAACTGTGAGCTCATAGGACTGAAAACAAATTCTGGGAGGAGGAGTCATTTATGTATTGTTTCAAAGTTACCATTTATCTCTTCTCATTTGGAATCCAAAACTGTATTCCATGTTATTACCACACCATTCTCAAGCTTCTCTTTGAAGGGATTAGGACTTTTATTATACCAGAGATGTCTCAGTACCAGAATGCCAAGACCAATGATCTCTCATATGCTAAATGAGGAATGTCTTTGTTAGCTGTGAGAGGATTAAGGGTAAAAATTACTCATGTGGGGAACCAGACATTAACCAATGATTCTTTAATCTCTTTTGGTCTGGGGATTTCTCATTAGTTAAATGAGAGGGTTAAATTGTTATCAGTGGCTTTCTAAGCTTTTTAACTATAACCACAATAAATACCATAAGTATGTATATATTTTAATTTTTTTTCACTGAATTATTCTTACTCATACAACATTCCTTTAAAAAAAAAATGTGAGTCAGGCACCATGGCTATATTTGTAATTCCAGCAGTTTGGGAAGCTGAGGCCAGAGGATTGCAGATTCAAAGCCAGCCTCAGCAACTTAGCAACGCTCTAAACAACTTAGCAAGACCATGTCTCAAAATTAAAAATAACAAAAGACTGGGGATGTGGTGCACTAATTAAACTCCCCTAGGTTCAATCCCTAGTATTAAAAAAAAATCTGGTTGTGGTCATAATCTATTAAGTTGATTTTAAGAACTACTAAGGGGATTTTTGAAAAATAAGTTTGAAAAATTCTTTATGGTGATTTCTAAGTCATCATTCATCAATGACTTGCCATTTTAATGGGTATCTATGAGCTAGGAAAATGGCATTAAAAATCTCCTTAAGAAGCTTACATTCTGTGTGATGTGTAACACACAAACTTCAAAGAGAAAAGGGAATCTCAATTGAATTAGTAAATCCATCAAATGGGTTTGATTTAGGGGATTGAAAAGCTGCAGAAATACAAGTTTCCCTCAAATCCCAGCCAAGAGGTCACAGCAAAACTAAAATAGCCTAAACCTCAAATGGTATGATTTTGTGTCAAATGAAGATTTCCTGTGGGCTCTAAATCTGCCTCAGAATCTATTTTAAAATGACTAGATGTTTTCTCCCCTTTCCCCATGGTTTGCAAAGATCAAAGTAGTTGACTAGCCCCCTTTTAAGATAAGAGATTCCAGAGTCCAGGGAATGGCGGAAATGAATGTTAGAGAGTACTTTGACTGAAGGACATTCCCCTGGCCATCTCATTCTCAAATTCACACACTCTCCACACATACCCCAGTACTTGCAAACCTGCAGTTGTGTAACTCTTGTCTCCACATCAATCCTGCCCCAGAAATCATGCTATACCACTTTTACCCAGCAGAGGGAAGTGGAACACCAAAATGACTGCAGAAATAATCCAGGACACAAAGACAGCCATATGGTATTTGTCCTGTGAATTCAGGTAGTGCAGAGTAAGAACATCATAGGATTGAAAACAAATTCTGGGTGATGCCAGTTCTGGGAAAAATATATGAAGAGGTGACTGCTCTTATTTTAGGTGACTAATCATGGCCTGTCCCATCAGGACATCTCCCATCAGGATTCCCTGGTAGACACCTTATGGAATGAGGCTCTCTTTTAGGCTTGGCTGCTGGTAGCCTGACCTTTCAATTTTTTCCCATTCTTCATGCTTTGGAACACCTGTTAAAATCATGCAATGTCTCTGTATTCTTCTGAGTCCAGGCTTTATGCAATGACCTTCCAAACCATGGCACTTTTTACTTTAGCTGCCAGGGGTGATTCTTAATGCTTTCTTCAATTCCACAAAGTAGGAAATGTGGGTACAGGCTGAAGTGAAATGTGTGCTCAGTGGTCATGTTTTGGAGAAATGAGATCCATTTTTATTTTTATTTTTAGGTACAGGGAATTGAACCCAGGGCTTTGAATATGCTTCCACTGAGCTATATTTACCGAGCCCTATTTTACCATAAATAAATAAATAAATAAAAAGTTCTTTTTTTTTTTTTTTTTTTTTTTTGGTGATTCATCATTCTAGAGACTGGGAAGTCCAAGAGCATCGTTCAAGTATCTGGTGAGGGCCTAGGCTACTTCCTGGCATTTGGAAAAACAAAGGACAAGCAGAAGAAACAAGCATGAGAGGCACTCTCATTTTATCACAGTCCTTGTGATAACCAATTCAATCCTATGAGAGTGAAACCTCAGTCATGAGAGAAAGGCATTAATTTATTCATGAGGGCAAAGCCCTTTTGACCTAATTACCTCTTAAAGGTTCCACCTTCCAATACTGCTACAATGGCAAATTTCAACATGAGTTTCAGAGCAGAGAAACCATATTCAAACTATAGTAGCAACATTACCTGGTTTACCCTTCTCAAAGGGGATGGCATTTTTATGAAGCCACAGAATAACAGAAGTTTTCTTCACCTATGCACTTCTGGAGTTCAAATGTAGTTAAAACACACTCCATTAACTATGTAGCTAGCTTTTTTTTTTTTTTCTGAAATAGATAGGTACCTGTCAGAAGGCACTCCTCAAATAGAAACAGATGCAATAATGAACAATGGACTTAGGTATGACTCACCCTCCAGTCCCACAAGTTCCTTCCCTATCCAACCCAGGGAATATATATCTAAGTATAACCATGCAGTTAGGTAAGAAGGATATTTCTAAGTGTATCCTCATGCCAGGGAATTTATTTTTATTAAGAGAACTGGGAGGGAGGGATCATATAACTTAAGTTTAAGATTATCATGAAGAATCAGTGAAAATTAGTTAGCAGTGAATCCGGGTGTTCAGCATCAATGAGGTAGAGAGAAGTGGGACAGGGCACTTTCATTTTGAAAGGTTGAACTTGCCATCTTGAATAATTCTCCTATTAGTTGGTGTCCATCTTAGGTCAGTGGCCAAGATAAAATGCAATAAACAGGTATGTCTGAAGTTTTCAATAATTTTAGGAATGCAAATCAATTCATGGAAATTTTTTAAAAAATATTTATTTTTTAGTTGTAGTTGGACACAATACATTTATTTCACTTATTATTTTTAYGTGGTGCTTAAACCCAGGGTCTCACACATKCGAGGCAAGCGCTCTACCGCTGAGCYACAACCCCAGCCTTCATGGAAATTTTTTCTAAATCTTTAAAACTCCTTTCATTAAGTTAACATTGTACCAACAGAAAAGGATAAAGGAGTTAAAGAAAAAAAGTCAAGAACAGGAAACAGGAAAGGAAGAGTTAGTAATAAAGAAGCTTTTTGGGCCGGGTACCAATAACTATTTTAGTTGCCACTTAGTGCATTTATGTTCTGGGTCCCCTGTGCTTCACACCAATCAGTGAAAACCAACAGGATGAACACCAACAGGATTTGCTCTGACAAGCAGCAATAAAAGTAAAGCTGCTGTCTGTATTAGCAGTAAACTAATGACCCCGAGATATGCCTTCCCTGTCAGTCTTACTATTCTGTCATGTTCCTAAATTGACTGGTCAGAAACACCTGTTATAAAAACCAGACTCTTGAGCTCCATTATAGACCTACTGAATCCAAATCTCTGGGCAYCTGAAATATGTTTGCTTATTTTTATTTTTAAGCTCCTCAGTGTGAATGTATCTTTATTTTTTCCTGGAATGTTTTGGGAATAGGATTACATTTCTTTTAAAGAAAAATAATCTAAAGAAGTTTTGTAAAAAAAAAAGTACTAAATACAAAAATATCTATGATGAAGAAAATATATTCCCTCATTCAATTTACTTGCTTATGCTCAGAACTCAGTCTTTCTCTTTGAAGGAACTGCATTCCCCGCTGTGGTTCCCATCTATTCATTGCTCCTGCAGTTATAAACCAGAAATTGAGAGATCTTTTCAGTTCAATTTTCGGCACTATCCTAGTGCACTGAGACCTACAGCAAATATGTAAGATCGGGCCTGAAAGAATGGAAAGTACGCTGAGAGTCAGGAACTGACAGCAGAATGAAGAAAGCTGAGGGGGTTAAAATAATAATAATGCAGCAGTGGAAGATAGGGATGAGATGGCTCTCTTAGTTCATTGGCCGTCCCTGAGTAACAGAAATGCAACTATGAATAATCCACAGCCCCCGCGCTCAAGAAGCAGGAGTTTGGGGTAATTAACACCGTTCACTCGGACCAACCATTTACACTTCTGTGTGAATCTGGACAGCAGCCCTTTCCCAGAGTAGGGAGAAAAGAGCGCCTGAACTCATGGTACGAGCTTGGCGACGATTGGGGTGGAGGGAAGGAAGGAACGTCCGTCCCTTCCTCTGCAGTTTATATAAAGACGTGCTTCGACCCTAGACTTCGCTGCATGAGCCAACGCTTGCCTAACTGTACCCATCTCTTCCCACCCAGCCATCAGCTTCCACATTGCAACTTGTGGGCGCCTGGGAGGAGGATGGGCGGGGTGAAGCAGAAGGGGCGGRGCGACCTCCTCTAGGCCCACCGACCCCACCCTACAGTCCCAGTTCACATTACCGCGAGAACGCGGAGTGCCCCGAGCGGCGCACGCGCAGACCTGTCAAGTCCGCGCTTCAGGTCCCGCCCACCTTCGCTGGAGGGAGCTCTGTTTGGCGTTACCAWGGAGCTTGCCCCGGCCGGAGGACGCTGCTTGTCGCCGGGGCAACCGGGAACGACAAAGCTTGACCCAGCTGGCCGCGGCCACACTGGCAGCGATGGTGTCTAACCCTGTGCATGGCCTGCCCTTTCTCCCGGGCACGTCCTTTAAGGACCCCACGGTGAGGACTTGTGTGCCCACCCCCACCTATCCCCGCCTTCCGAATACCTAGATGGGTTCCCATTTAGTGCCCCTCCATTCTCCACCCGCGTCAAACCCGTCCTCTGCCCCGAATTCTCTCTTCACTGCAACTCTGTTGTTCTCTTCTACACAGCCTCATCCGCTCTCCCGTATCCTTTGCCACCCCTCCATCCCTGTCGTCAGTTTTTGCACTGATCYCTTTTTCGTTCTCATCCCCTTAGTTGCGTTGGTACTGCTCTGTTCCTTCAAACCTTCCCCTTCTTCCTCTAAATCAGTTCACCACACCCTACTCCCAAGCTCCTGTTAGGTCCTCACCCTAGTTCCTTCTCTCACACCATACTCGTGTCTCTGCTCAGCTCATCCCTGACCTCCCATAGCCTCCTTCCTTTCGCCCACTCAACATCTCTCCACCTTCATCCTCATCCTACCCGTTTTCCCCAGACCCGTTATTCTCGCCCTGYCTCCTTCCTATTCGGAATCCTGGATCCTAATCTTTACATTCCCAGCTCCGTTTCCTGTCTTGGATGTAAATGGTTTCTATCCACTTTTTTCCATCAGGCCCTTTCGCATAGTCTCCGCCCTTCGCGTTTCAGCTTCTATGCAACTTCATCCTTTTCCTCTCTCCAGCTTCCACATTTTGTACTGTCTAATCCTACACTCTGTCCATCTTTGCTTTCTGTTTCCATTGCGGTTTCTCTTCAAAATTTGCTATCTTCTTCACAAACCGTCGCCCTTCTCTGCTTTGTAGATTTCCCTTTCCCCTCAATCTCAATGGGTTAAGCGCTCTTTCGTTTTCCCTCAGCCCTATACTTTCACTCTAACATTTTTGTAAAAAGCTCCTGTTCAGATTGAGTTTTGCTTCCCCCAAACTCAAGTGTTTGTTGTCACATTTTCTAGACAAAATTATTTAATATTTGTTTCAGTTCCAACAATGTTACTGAATTATATGTTCTGCAAAATCAATATTGAGATTCAGTATATTGATTTTCATAGATGAGCCAACAGTAATTTATATGCATATAGTTTAGTAATTTAGACTCTTAATTCCTCTCCATATTCACATAGCTAAGGTAAAATATTTAGTCAACATATTTTCTTCAGGAAAATAAATTTAAATTGAAAATGAAAGTGTAGTGAGAGAATTTGAGTTCTCTCTCCTTTAAGACAGGGCAGCATAGATTTTCAGTTTCATTGGGTTTCCAGTTTTATGTAATTTAGAAAATGTTACAGGAATTTTACTGCCCTGTTCAGAATTCAGCTTAAAGGCAGGCTTGAGTTGATTTGGGGGATTACAGAGATGTGAATGGTAGTGCCAGGATCTAAAGATACTTATTGCCATTCTATAAGTAAGGCGAACTGTGCAGTGGTTATATTTCATGTTTTAAATACACTGGCCAGGTGTTAACCAATTTGCCTTATTTGAAATTTGAAAATATGGTCATTGTATCTTCAGCAGCGAAGTATTAGGTATATATAACTCTGAAGTAAAACTATTCAGAAGGTGAATCATAATAAGTGAGAAGGGTAGAGAGGCCTTGCCATGGGGTGCACCATGGGTCATAGCTGAGTGATGATAGTGATACCTTTTTGAAAATGAAGAAAGCAAACAAGTCACTGATGTTGCTCTTTTATTTTTTGGTTGCTGAGGACAAAACCCAGGCCTAGCCCCTGCTAAGCATGCACTCTACCACTGAGCTATACCTTTAGCCCCTACTGATATTGTTTCTACCTTTAGAGGTGGAAGAAGAGGTACTTGATGCTATCTATACAAGTTACTCAATGAGGAAATCAATTCAGCCCATTTTGGTTTGTATCTTGTGTGTTATGCACTTGAGCAGTTATGTCAAGTGACTTGTGGCACTAAACACAAGACCCTTGTGCTCAGAAGGCAAAGGTAGGAGCTGCTCTGGAGGCAAAGGCAGGAGGATTGTGAGTTCAAAGCTAGCCTCAGCAATTTAGTGAGGCACTAAGCAACTCAGTGAGACTCTGACTCTAAATAAAATACAAAATTGGCTGYGGTTGTGGCTCAGTGGTCAAGTGCCCCTGAGTTTCAATTCCCAGTACCAAAAAAAAAAAAAAAATCCATAGTATATAACTCTTTTAGCAAGAGAAGTTTATTCTGTTGTACCTTTCATGTTGGTACAGATCTTGAAAACTGGTAGGCAGGGCTTCAAAGAAATTAGAAGATAAACAAGTAGGTCTTTTGTATTTTAATTTTTTTTTTTTTTTGTATTTTGGTACTGGGGATTAAACTCAGGGGCACTCAACCACTGAACCATATCCCAAGCCCTATTTTCATTTTATTTAGAGTCAGGATCTCACTGAGTTGCTTAGTGCCTTGCTTTTGCTGAAGCTGGCTTTGAACATGCTATCATCTTATTTCAGCTTCCCAAGCCTCTAGGATTATAGGTGTACACCATGGTGCCCAGCTTTTGTCTTCTTAAATATATATTTTGTGATTAATTACAAATTATACATGTAGTTAAGTATTTTACATATAAAATTTGAAAGTAACCTCATATTACAAAGAATGGAAAAAGGAAAAATTAATCCAATTTGCTTTTCTACTCTTTCATTTTTTATTTATCTTTATTTTTTCTAACTATTAAAAATATGTTCATTGTATATATAATATATAAAAATAAAATACATAAAAATCAATATAATTCAAAAATGTATAAAGAATGTTTGCCAAATCCAGTCTCTCTTCATATTTGCATGCTTACAATTGTAGTATGATTTTTTTAGTCTTATTAAATCATAAATCATTTTCTCCAGGTTGCTCTGTGGTCTGTAAAGCCATTATTTTAATGACTGTGTAATAGTCCATTACTGAGTTTTCCATCATTTACTCATGTCTTCATATGTTTGTCTTTTAAATTGTTTCCAAAGTTTTACTGTTGTAAATAACATTCTATGGGATGCTCGAGGCATATAGTTCTTTCCCATAATTTTGGATTATAACCTTAAAATCAATGATCAAGAGTAGAATTATTGAGTCCAAGAATTTAAATACATGCTATCTAGTTGCTTTCCAAAGAGTTTTATGAATTTATCAGTGTGGCACATAAAAACAAACAGGGCTTTTAGTATAAAGCACTTTCTAGTCCAGGTAAAAATAAAATTCAAAGACCTTTGTCTTCTGGGTTCCATGATTCACAATCACTGAGAAGATTAAAAAACGTAGAAAAACTAGTAAAAAATTAAGTGGATAGAGGAGCCCAGCATGGAGATACACACCTGTAGTCCCAGCTACTTAGGAGGCTGAGGGAAAAAGATCACCTGAAATCATGAATATAAGACCAGCATGGGTAACACAGTGAGACCCTGTCTCAAAAACAAAAACAAAATGCAGATGAGATAGTATTTTAATCTTTCATGTAAGGTGAGCTGGTAGTTAAATTGAGCATTATAGAGAAAAATTTTAAATTTTAACATCTAGTAGTTCTTTCCCTCCTCATTCCTAAGTCTTTTAGTTTAAAATACAAAAGCTTTTAATGTAGGTAAACTTTAAGATGTAAGTTTTGTGATGTTTATAAGCAAAGGTTTGAGTTATAATATTTAGAAATATTTTATATAACAAACATATAGTGTTATTAATGACATATTTCTTTTCTTCTCCAGAAAACAGCTTTCCATAGAAGCCAGACGTTGGGCTACAGGAACGGCTATGCAGTTGTTCGACGTCCAACAGTTGGGATAGGTGGGGAGCGGTTACAGGTCAACCAGCTGTCTCCAGCAGAGCTGGATGAGTTGGCCAATAAAGCACCAGTTCTAACTTATGGCCAACCTAAGCAGGCCCCACCTGCAGAATTCATTCCAGCACATGTAGCTTTTGACAAAAAGGTATCACCTAGAATTCTAGGGTACCCTTGAATTTAAATGCCTGAAAGCCAACTGGCTACAGAAAACTTAAATAGTCAACCACAGGATTCCCACAGTGCTCTCTGGAGAAAATTGTTCAAATGCCTTAACCCTTACTCATAGACAGCTGAACTCAGGCTTGAAAGAAGCTTTCTTTAGTCAGGAAGTTGATTACAGAAAATAATTCCCTGTAGACCTCACTGGAATATTTGCAGATACAATTAAAGAAAAGTTGGTTGAATTCTAGAATAGTGAGTTCATATTGCCCTAGTGAGTTCATATTACCAGCTCTGTGTTTTCTGTTTCTTAAAAGTACTCTATTCTGCAACAATGAGAGGTGTTTATTCTTTATGAAATGCAAAATATCATCTTAAAAACAATGACCCCCTCTATGGTCAGTTTTCTCCAGGCTATCTCTATAAGTTTTTGTTTTTCAGGAAACACTTTACATTTAAATGTTACATAACCAAAGAGTCATAGAAAATTTTTGTTTGTTTCTCATTTACTCTTATGCTTTTGCAGTGTGAGTTGCTTTATTTCCATCTCTTGATATTTCCACATCATCCTTTATTTTCTTCCCCAATCTTTTTTTCTCCTAAAAATCCTCTTTCTTATTTTAGGAACATGGTCATACATCCATTTATGGACTGAACCTAAATATGCACTGAACAAATTGTAAATTATATAATTGGCTATATTATTCCCATTTGCTTATTTTTCTTGTTTATTCATAGCCTTAGCAGGCACTGATAAATCAGTATAGAAGAGAGATAAGTGAAAATACAAGAGAAGGGTACATTAGGGATTTAATAATTTATCAAGAAATCCTTGTATGTTCATTTTTACTAAAAAGAATAGTAAATGATTATAATAAAGTAGAAAGTGAGGGGCTGGGGTTTTGGCTCAGCAGTAGAGTGCTTGCCTAGCACGTGCAAGGCCCTGGGTTCAATCCTCAGCACCACTTAAAAATAAATAAATAAAATAAAGGTATTATGTCCAACCACAACTAAAAATAAAAATAAAATTTAAAAAGTAGAAAGTGATATAAGAAAATATTGATGAAATTCAGAGAAGGAAAATATGTGCCTGAATAAGGAAATAGCATTTTTGCTTTTAGTTATTTTATGTTAATTGTTATTAATTTATGCTTATTTAATATTATTATTTTTTATTTTTATTTGTTTTTACTTGCTGATAGATCTTTATTTTATTTATTTATATGTGGTGCTGAAAATCAAACCCAACCCAGTGCCCCACACATGCCAGGCAAGTGCACTACTGCTGAGTCCCAGCCCCAGCCCCTAATATTATTCTTTTTTTTTTTTTAATTTTTTAGATTGGGGACTGAACTCAGAGGCACTTTATCATTGAGCTACATCCCAAGCTCTTTTTTACTTTTTATTTTGAGAAAGGTTCTTATTATATTTCTGAGGCTGGCCTTGAATTTGCAGTCCTCCTGTCTTATCCTCAAAGTTGCTAGTGTTATAGAGGTACACCATTGTGTGGCTCATTGGCATTATCTTTAAAGAAATGTATTGTGGCCGGGCACAGTCACACATACCTGAAATCCTAGCAATTCAGAAGCTGAGATAGAGGACTGAAAATTTGAGGCCAGCCTGGGCAACTTAGGTGAGGCACTATCTCAAAATTTTGAAAAAGGGCTGGAGATGTAGCTTAATAGTAAAATGTCCCTAGGGTTAATCACCAGTACCAGAAAAATAAAAATTAAAAAGGATAGTATATATAAATAATATTATTATAACATTCACATATTTATTTTCCAGCTTATTTATTTTTATCTTTATGATTTTTAGATAAATAATGTTTATCATAGATATGGGATAGACAGTAGTTAAATGCATGGTTTTGAAACTATTTTATTTGTGGGCTTTTCTGAATTAAATCAGAATTCAAATGTTTTAAAGACTATTTTGAGGTCCTTTTTTTCATTTATTTTTTATTTTTTGGTGACAGGGATTGAACTCAGGGGCACTCAACCACTGAGCCACATCTCCAGCCCTGTTTTGTATTTTATTTGGAGACAGGGTCTCATTRAGTTGCTTAGTGCCTTGCTGTTGCTGAGGCTGGCTTTGAATTCATGATCCTCCTGCTCAGCCTCTGGAGCTGCAGGGATTACAAGGCATGTGCCACTGTGCCTGGCTGGAGGTTCATTATTGATAACCAACATATTTGTTCATATTTTGGATATTCTTGAGGCTGTTCCTCATAGACAGAATATAACTTCATTTCTTCTTAGGTGATAAAGAATAGGACATTTTCTACATCTACTGTGAATCCCCTCATCTTTTCTCCTTGTTCCCATATAATTTTCTCTATYATTACACATTGTATTCTCTATTTCAGGCTAACTTCCCACTCTGTGTACCTGATGTTACTCTTTTTCCATCTTTTCATCTTCAACTTTCGTATTTTTATTTCAAATAAATATGGTATCCTTCTCTAGCTAAGAAACAACAGTAATAACAAAACCTCCTTTTACTCTGTGATTTCTTTAAGCAAGAAAACTTTCTTTCTCAGTGGAATATCAGATAATTTATAATCTGATTTTCCCTGTCCTCAATCTCAAAACTCCTTTTTCCTGAGTAGCTAGTATTATCCTTTTTGCCAAATCTAAAGAGGTTTACTTCACCCACATTTTCTGACCTGCTTACAATATCTGACACTGTTGACCCTCCCTCTCTTCTTGAAACTGCTTTTTTCTTGCTGCTATGATCATTCCTCTCATGATTTTCCTCTTCCTCTCTATTACTTGCTCTTTCTCTGGTATCTCTCCCTCCTGTCACTTCTTCACTGTAAGCATTTTCAAGGTTCTGTGCTAATTCTTATACTATCTTCTTGAGACACACCCCMTTTTCATAGTTTCACCTTTTCCTCAATTAAGACAACTCTGGCCTAGTTGAAACTCTAATCTGTGTCTTTCTGCCCATGGGATAGCTTCACCTGGATGAGCTGTTAGCACTTCAGTGCCTCTGATTGACCTCATCTTCCTTTTCCCTAGATCTGCTCTCCCTGTGCAATTTCACCAGGTAATCTGAGCTTGGAACCTGAGCCTTCTTCTGCCTTTCTTCCCATATTCAATGAGTTACTGAGTCAAATATGTCTCACTTTCATTTCCTCTATCACTTCTGTGGCTCAAATGAGCAACTAGACAACTGTTAATGTAGGCCCATACGTAATTATTTGCTTATACTAGGTCTACCACCTCCTTTATTCCCTGAAGCACAATTTTGATTCTATCACATCTTTAGTAAAATGCTTTCTGGATCCTTTAATGAATACTGTGAACATTATCATTACCCATCTGGCTGCTCTGACCCCAACTTGAAAGACATCTTTCTTTAATCCTTCTTTCTCCTCACAACTCACATCCAATCAATTAATAAGCTCTATTATTTTTAACTAATCTGTCCACGTTTTTCTATCTTCAATATTATAAATTCACTTTCCATACAGCTTATCTTTTAAAAATTAAACTATGTTACATATTGACCATGGCTGGTTCCATGACTTCCCAATCATATGTAAAGTAAGATTCAACTGTACAGTTTCCTCCTTTTCGTTGGCCTAGATGGCCCTCCCTGCTGTTTTCTTACTCTTTCCCTCATCTATTGTGTTTGAATAATAATGGATTTTTCCTTTTGAGTATTACCTGATTCATGAATACTCAAAATGAACGTAAATAAACTCCGTTAAATTAATTTGTCTGAAAAAAAAATAATGGATTTTTTTTCCTTATTTCCTTGAAGTGGCAGAACTTCCCCCACCCCATCCCCCCATTTCAGGGTCTTTGCACATGCTGTTCCTCCAATCTAGATGGTATTCCTTCTGATCTCAGGTGGCTCACTTTGTCTTATCATTCATATGCCTTACCTGAGGCTTTTCCTGACCACTGTACTAAGGAAATCTCTATTTTCTCTGTTGTTTTCCTTTCTTTTGTTTTCCTCATGGCACTAATTTCTGGTCTCTGTTATTGTTGATAAGCTTAACATACAACCCACACAGGTAAGAGTAAAATTAAAAGAATGTAACAAGGCTTATTATTTTCATTGTATATGATATGGAAATATTTATTCAGGATTTCCTCCTTCTGGAAATAAACACAAACATTTTCATGTTTATTTGTGTTATCCTGAGCACTTCCTGGAAATCAGAAGAACTGAGTTCTAATTCTGGTCTTCTACCAAAAGCATTGTAACCCCAGAAAGTCACAATCTCTAGTTTACACATCTATAAACTCAGAAGGTTAGAATCTATAACTAGGAGCCCAGGCTGCTATAAAAAGTTCATGGAAAATACATTTTAAAACACATAAATATTTTGAAATATAAATATTTTTCCTTCCCTTTTATATAGTACATCAAGTTATTCTACTTGATGTTATCCCAACTGCTTGCTAAATATCTTTTTTCCCATCCAAATTTTTTAATGGTGCATTGTAGTTGTACATAATGGTGGGATTTGTTGTCACAGATTATTACAGTCACACAATATAACAATAAGATTGGCCAATATAATTCCCCAGTATTTCCCTTTTCCTTTCCTTCCTCCTTCCTCCTGGTTTCTTTCCTGTACTCTTCTGATCTCCCTTCAATWTTCATGAGATCTATCCCCCATCTTTCTTTTCCTTTTTCCTCTCTGATTCCCACATCTGAAGAGAAAACAATGACCCTTGACTTTCAGAGTTTCGCTTGTTTTGCTTAAAAAATGTTCTCAAGTTCCATTCATTTTCCTACAAATGATATAATTTCATACTTTTTTATGACTTACTAAAACTCCATTGTATATATATCACATTTTCTTTATCCATTCATCTATAAATGGCTGGTTCCATGTTTTAGTTATTGTGAATTGTGCTACTACAAACATGGTTATGCATGTATCAGTACAGTATGATGACTTAAATTCTTTAGGGTTGATATTAGGGAGGGATATAGCTGGTCATATGGTGGTTTCATTCCTAATATTTTGAGAAACCTCCATACTGATTTCCATAGTGGTTGTACTAATTTATAATCCCACCAACAGTGTAAAATTGTTCCTTTTTTTCTATATCCTCTCCAGCATTTATTATTATTTGTATTTTTGACGACTGCCATTCTGTCTGGTGTGAGATGAAATCTCCATGTAATTTTGGTTTGCATTTCCCTAATTGCTAATTATGTTGAACATTTTTTCATGTATTTGTTGGCTATTTGTGTTTCTTCTTTTGAGAAGGGTCTGTTTAATTCATTTGACCATTTACTAATTGGATTATTTGTGTTTTTGTTAAGTTTTTTGAATTATTTATATATTCTAGTTAATAATCCTGCTAAAGAGATTTTTTTCTTATTATCTTCTTTTGCAGTGATTTCTTTACTAGAAGGAGCACAGACACTATTCTTGATTACCACTCAACAAATGAGGTCTTTTTAGGTTAGAGTATTATTTACCTGAGACCTAATTTATTAACCTGGTTCTCTGTATCATGAATTACATATTGAAACTGTTGTTTTACCAGTTGTGTAGATTATATAGCAGAGGAAACTTAAGTACTTCTTTTATAGTCATATTTACCCCCCATTCTGAGGCCAAGTTCCTGTCACCAGATGCATCTACATGCCTTCCAATTTTAGAAAACAGACAGTTTAAGAAAAATGACTGTGGGGCTGGGGTTATAGCTCAGTGGAAGAGCGCTTGCCTAACCCGTGTGAGCCACTGGGTTCAATCCTCAGCATCACATTAAAAAAATGAATAAAATAAAGATATTGTGTCCTTTTACAACTAAAAATACTAAAAGAAAAAAAAAGAACATGGTTGTGGCCTCAGAATAAGTCTTTCATCTTTCTCTGTGCTCATTCCTTTGATGGGTCATTTAGATTCATAGATTGGACTGGCCTCCTAATGTTGACAAGCTGTCCTCTGAACATAGCATATATAATAACCTATTTGATATCTCCTCTTGAATATATAATAGATATTTAAATGAAACATGTCTAAAATGGAACTCCTAATTTCCCCCAAAACCTTGCTCCATTACCCATTACTATCAGTTTGATATTAATTCTATCTATTCTGTTTATGTCTGAGTCATCCTTGCCTATTCTCTAATTTTTATTTCTTTTCCAAAACCTTAGGTCTGCATCTTAAATTACCCCCTGCAATGTCAACTTGTGCTGTCACTTAAATTCAGCAGTCTAAAATCAAGCTCACCAGCTGTCCTGTTAAAATTATCTTCTTTTTGTCTCAATTTTTATGGTCTTACCACTGTATCCCTAGCACTGTGTCGTCCATCCTCCTCCTTTCTCATTTTSAGTTCAGTCAACCACCTCTGCTTTTCCATTGTTGGTAACTAATTAATGCAGCCTGGACCATGGAAAGGGCTTTTAATGTTATCACCATACCTAGCATATCCTGCATACTGCTTCTGGGTTTCTTTTTGTTTGTTTGTTTGTTTTTGCATTACAATTCTTATTACATATATATACAACAATTTTTTATATCTCTGTTTATATATAAAGTATGTTGACACCCAATTCAAGTCTTCATACATGTACTTGGGATAGTGATGTCCATCACATTCCACCACCCTTGCTAAACCCCTGCTCCCTCCCTTTCCCTCTTACCCCTCTTCCCTATCTAGAATTCATCTAATCCTCCCATGCTCCCCCTCCATACCCCACTATGAGTCAGCCTCCTTATATCAGAGAAAACATTCAGCATTTGGTTTTTGGGGGGATTTATTAGCTTCACTTAGCATTATCTTCTCCAACGCCATCTATTTACCTGCAAATGCCAGGATTTTATTCTCTTTTAATGCTGAGTAAAATTCCATTGTGTATATATGCCACATTTTTTTTATCCATTCATCCCCTGAAGGGCATCTAGATTGGCTCCACAGTTTAGCTATTGTGAATTGTGCTGCTATAAACATTGATGTGGCTGTGTCCCTGTAGTATGCTATTTTTAAGTCCTTTGGGTATAGTCCAAGGAGAGGGATAGCTGGGTCAAATGAGAGTTCCATTCCCAGATTTCCAAGGAATCTCCATACTGCCTTCCATATTGGCTATACCAATTTGAGTCCTACCAGCAATGTATGAGTGTACCTTTTTCCCCACATCCTCTCCAACACTTATTGTTGTTTGTCTTCATAATAGTTGCCATTCTGACTGGAGTGAGAAGATATCTTAGAGTAGTTTTGATTTGCATTTCTCTGATTGCTAGAGATGATGAGCATTTTTTCATTCATATTTGTTGATTGATTGTATATCCTCTTCTGAGAAGTATCTGTTCAGGTCTTTGGCCCATTTGTTGATTGGGTTATTTGTTTTTTTGGTGCTTAGCTTTTTGAGTTCTTTATATATCTTGGAGATTAGTGCTCTATCGGATGTGTGAGGGGTAAAAATTTGYTCCTAGGATATGGGCTCTCTATTCACCTCACAGATTATTTCTTTTGCTGAGATTGCTTCTGGATTTCCTTCCTCTTTTTCTGTTATTGCATTGCCTAAAATCCCCTCATGTTCCCTTTGCTTATCTAACATTTTCTCACTCTTCAAGTCTAATATGTATTCTCAGTTAAGATTTCTCAGACCACCTATGCAGATTTTTGTTAAGAACCGTAATATTATCTGTTATTTAGGAAATAGTGAGATATGTGGAGAGAACATTGGGCTATGAGTCAATAGACTTACAGAGTTTCAATCTTAGCTCTGATCCTATTCCTCATATGGCCTCAGACAAGTCACTGTGGCAACCTGGGTCTAAGTTTTCTTTGTAAAATAAATGGGGTTGGATTATCTGATCAATTCTGTTTTAATAGTTTGCATGGTTATAAATCTGTGGCTCAAATACAGGCTATTTCATATTTGAATTACTGTGATCATATCTCCACTTGTAATTTTTTATAATTTACCCCAAATGTTACTTAATTATCTTTGTCTTTTGTTTTTACTATTTTTCTACTTTAAATATTCTACTACACTTACCCATTTTACCTTTTTATAATGAGTTTTGAGGTCTTCATTTCATTGTAGTTATTTTTCTCCTAGGCAACAGCCAGTTTTCTTTCTTTCTTTCTTTCTTTCTTTCTTTCTTTCTTTCTTTCTTTCTTTCTTTCTTTCTTTCTTTCTTTCTTTATTTCTTTTTTATCTTGTTCTTCCACAGTAGATACTATACCCTTTCTAACAACATTGATGTGTAGAATTATTTTTCTATTCATCAAGCTGTTCTCGTGTCTTCATTTAACGGTTTTCTTGATTTGTTCCTCTAAGTCTAGTAGAAGTTTGGGTAAACTCTCTGGTCTACTTAGAGTATCATTCTGATACTTTCTTTCTCTGAAGAGAAATATTTTTAATTTTAAATATTTTAAATTTTTCAACCATTTATATAGGTTTTTTAAAAAACCCTCTAGGCCTACATGTCATAAAAAGAGGGTGACAGGGTAGATTTATAGTGTGGTCATGGATTGCAGTTTGCCAATTCTTGATTTAGAGAATAAATAATGAGTATTAATATCTCCCTGTGTAGTCCTCTTTTTCAGGAAGGTACTTAATGTTTTTTAGATGACAATGACAAACTAATATTACACCATTTCTCCTTGCCTTGTGTATTATAGGTGCTGAAATTTGATGCCTATTTCCAGGAAGATGTTCCTATATCAAGCGAGGAACATTATAGAATCCGTCAAGTGAAAATTTACTACTATCTAGAAGATGATAGTATATCTGTAATGGAGCCTGTTGTTGAAAACTCTGGCATCCCTCAAGGCAAGCTAATCAAACGCCAGCGAATAGCCAAGAATGATGTAGGAGACCATTATCATTGGAAAGACCTAAATCGAGGAATAGATATAACCATGTATGGCAAAACTTTCCGCATTGTTGACTGTGACCATTTCACACAGGTATATTATATATTTGTGGAAGTTGTGGGATCTTAGGCATCATTCTCACTTATGGCCAGATAAGTTCGTTTCTTAGGGTAATGGGAGGACACTGATAATCTGTCCTGTGTGAATTATTATGTAGGTTAACTTAAGTATTGGTGTACTATGTGTTGATATGTACCAACGCTATTTGTAACATTACTTTTTTAGAATGACATTAATACAGATCCACTCAAAATCAAGCTCTACCATAGCTGAATCATTTAGTAAGAAACCAGTTGCAGTGGCTGCCTTCGGTGTGAAGTAATCTGGGTTTTCTGGGAAAAGAAAACCAAATAAATCCCTTAATTCTAATCCAGTATCTATCTTCCTTACTACGGATGCATCTTAAATCCTTTTTTTTTTATTGGTTGTTCAAAACATTACAAAGCTCTTGACATATCATATTTCATACATTAGATTCAAGTGGGTTATGAACTCCCATTTTTACCCCAAATACAGATTGCAGAATCACATCGGTTACACATCCA